AACACTCGAGCATTCACGAACCTTCGAGAATATGACGTGTTACTAGTATCACGTGACCCCCGCGGTCGTAACAATATACATATATATTATTCATACCTTCGGTGTATAGGACGCAAGCAGATTTTGACATCAAATTTTGGGGTAAAAAAGTACGTCTTATACACTGAAAAATACAGTAATTATGTCAGTATCTTTAGAGGTTATACCTGAAAGTGGAGGTTAATAAATTACAACAATTTTAAAAAAAGAATTAACAATTAATTTCTAGTCTACTTGAGAGGTAATTAAAAATTTTCAAACTGTTTCACACATATGCATGTTCAGTTCTAAGACATAATTAACTTTCTAGTGTCCTAGTTACACATTGTCGTAGGTCCTTCCCTTTCAAAGACACCATAAGTGGTGGAGCAGATGAGATATTTGCCTCACAAATAATTTGGCAAGTAAAGTTTTTTCTAAATTATTTTATGAATATTTTTGTCACTGAATGCTATTATGCCCCATGCCTCATAAATATTACCTGATGGTTAAATATTGCTAGTGTTAGACTACTTTCAAGGCAATATATAATGTTGCATATTGCATGCACTCGTAGTAGGCCACAAATTACCTAAACGACAATGAACTTAATAAAACTACAAACTTTACAAACTAAAAAGCATGTAGAGAGGTTGAGGAAGTTGTATCAAATGGTCTTGAAACCTCATCAATTGTTATAGTCCACTCATGCTTTATCAGATGGCAATACATCTTGGCTAAGGTTACTAGATTTCCAGAATGAAACACTAAGACATTTCTTTTTCATGTGTCGTGATAAGGTGACACCTATGAAACAGTTTAAACTGCAATAACACAATTTTTACCATTTGAAAAATAAACTGTTGATATTGCACCATGTTGTAAAACCATAGATGAGTAAAATTTGTTCATAGTTTAAGAAAAATCGTGTCTAAATTATACTGAACCAACTTAAAAGAAAAATGCTGCTTTGTTTTTTTTTTCTTATTTTACAGCTGGGCAGATCTTCAAATCTTAATTGCTGTGGCCCCTAGTGTGATAGATTAAGTTAACATTCAAGGGTATGATCTGTCACTGTCGGGTGATTTTGTAAGTCAAATTTAAAGGGGTCGTCTATAACAATAAACTGTACATATCTTACTCATAATGAGGTACAGAGAAACTGGAAAAGCTCAATACTTTTACTGTTTCTGATCAGGACAAAAAAATTAGCCTAAAAACCTGTATGATTCTAGTTTCACTGGGTCGTGTCTGGTAATCCTAATCTTGACAATATTCTGCAGCATTGGTTTTGAAGGCTCTATTGCAAAGCACACCCCTACTTCCTGCATATCTTTCTATAATCCATCTAGTTTTCTCAAAACCCATCTCAACAGTATGATTTCACAAAAATTCAGAGACAATACATCTGGGGACTGGACAAGTATGATTTTTTTTATGGAATAGCATAAATGCCAATATCATTATCCAGCTGTTTGAAGTATGTGAAGCTTGAATGGGTATACTGTGGAAGCAGCTTCTCTCATTTTTCCAGATATAAATCCTTCTCGATTGTGTTGCATACTGTCGCCTGGAACATGTGGACAGATTTGATAACTGACCTTTGTATTTGTGGTTTTTCTTCTCTTACAAAGTGTCACACTTTGCTTATCAGTGCTGGTGTATGACTTTTTTTTTTGAAGGACTCCTTCTGAATATGCCTGAGCTCCAAGTTGATCCTTAATTCTTTATTTTCTAATAATATTTAGTACAATGGATGTTCTCACCTCAGAAATCCTAAATCCTCGATATAAATATATCTTTGTGATCAAAGTGTATGAATAGTTTACATCAGGAAAGGCTGTTAAACACCCCTCCCAAAAGTGATCAATTGTCAGTGGCATCACACTACTTAAAAAAGTACCAATCAATGTGAAAATGTAGTTTTGATACATTCTGTTCCAATGCAAGTTTATATCAGCTCTAGCTGTCACATGACTTCCTGATTTGCATATACAAAATCGTATAAATATAAAATATTCATCCCTGTATATAACAATTATATATAACTACATAACTAAATTTGTTTCTTTACCTCAACACATCTTCATGGGTAGGCAACAATAGCAACTTTTAATGTTTATCATCCATAGTTTATTTTAGGCATGTCTATTGCCACTTGTATTACAAGTGATAATAGACAGCAAGCTTGTGCAATGAATCTTTTATTTCATAAATGTAATACTTGTATAAGTTCATTGTTCATTTCTACCAATAATAATCAGTAATTGTATTTAACTTTAAAAAAGAAAATTACAAACTTTATACTGATTATTTTGCATACGTGAATTACGTTTTTGCGAAACATCTCTCTTAATAAAGTGATTGTAGATACGGCCTTAATTTTAGTTATTATTTACTTCTAGCATCATTGCCCTATGGTATTTCTGAACTTTCCCACATCAGGTATCACTGGAGAACTGCGTGGTTTAATAACAAGTATGTTTTCTTGTGAGATCAACAGTGTAGAGATTTAAGAGTAACTGGACACTGTGTCCTTCTTATTTTATCTTATGGAATAACAAAGTGTTGGGATGTTCAGTAA